AAATAGGATGTTGAAGGATCGGTATGCTTTGTACTTCCTTACGGATAATGTTTTGCTTGAGCTTAGTCGATGATAAATACCCCAAAGCTATATCTAGATGTATTTCAAATTTGAGAAAAAATGAGGTTAATCCTTTCTCTTCTTATCTTTCATGAATGACGGACACTATGACAGTATGCACCATATTGCCCTAACTGCCATTATTATTAACTTTCATGTATTGCTTATATTTGGTTTGTCATTGTTCCCATTGAAGTTTCACAATGTTGAGACAATAGACAGATATATCTTTCTTACATTACCAGCTTCTTACATGTGGTGATGTGCTTTGGTGATTATATAGGTTGATTTTTCTGGCATGGTTGACAACGAATTTCTGGAAAGGCTTGGATTAGAGAAGGGTACCAGAAAGGTCGTCAATCATGAGGAAAGGGGTAAAGTTCTGAGTGCGATGGATGGATGCAGCTACAAGGCCGCTGCGGGTGGATCACTTTCTAATAGTCTGGTTGCCTTGGCCAGGCTTGGTGGTCAGCCAATAGCTGGTCCTGCTCTGAATGTAGCTTTGGCTGGTAGTATTGGAAGTGATCCGTTGGGTGGATTTTACAGGTAAAGTTCAACTCTTTTAGTCTATTGATATTGTGAAGTCTTCATCTCAAACTTTTCCTACTTCTACTCCATTGGTGTATGGAGAGGGCCCTTGCTACTAGGTCCACTCTCATGATTTACATATGAAAAATATTAAAACCTTCCAACAAAGTTTGTTGTACACTGTCCAATGATTGGTTTTAATCCTAGTGTGTCAATTAGACTGACAACTGACAGGAACTGTATCACTTTGTATATAGATCCAAACTTCGACGAGCAAATGTGAATTTTTTATCAGCCCCAGTGAAGGATGGGACGACAGGAACTGTGATAGTCCTCACAACTTCGGATGCTCAGCGAACAATGCTAGCATACCAGGTCAGTAAATGTTCTATAGTAAATCGCAGATATCCTTTTATGCATGGAAATGATAGCTAGCTGAGTGCTGAGTGGATTAGAGTAACCATATCCCAGACATCTTATAGCATACGAGCCAGAGTTACAAACCTGTTACCCTATCACCATCTATGGATATCTACTTGCAGTATGCTCAATTGGTTCCTTGAGATAATGATCCATGGTTTAAGGGAAATAGTTCTTGATCAATTCCCCCATTGAACCTTTTGTTTTGACTTGTATTGACTTTACCTCAGGTAGAACCTAAAACATTACTACTTTGGTTAATACTATGTTATGAAGTAAACCACTTTAAGCAATAGTTTAACAAGCCTTTTGCCTGGCTATGAGCTAGTATACCATTTTATGAAAAGAAGCAAACTAGAGGAGACAGAAACAGGTGTGATATTTTCTTTTAATGGAGACAAAAAGATACTGAATAGAAAATTCCCTCTTCTCGTGGTCTTCTCCTTAGTGGGATAAATAATGGGTTATTGTGGCTCAGCAAAGACCTGTATGCAATATGCATTGTTCTTTTACTGCAAATCAGCAAAAACCACCTGCTTTAGCTGCCTTTTCTTTTGCCATGATACAGCGTTATGAGCCTCATATGAACAAGATAGAGTTCACAGGCCTTATCTCGGAGTTCTTCAAAAATGTTAACGGGTGCATGTCGTATACGCCAAAAGTAATGCATTTTGGAATCAGACACGGGTGTAGCAACAATTTTGGAGAGTCCGAGAGACATAGGATAGAACATCTCTTTTAGTCGGACCTGAGAAATTTATTTTAGCAGTAAGGAAATGCAAGCTACCACTTTCCACAAGGACAAAACCTTGGTTATTGTTTCAAATTGCATCAATGCTTTATTTGACTTTCGTCGTCGTCTTTCAGTGAGTCCCTTCTGCAGCCTGTCTTTTTAACAGCTTTTCTCTGCTCCTGTTGTGACATCAGGGTACGTCATCAAGGATAAACTATGACCCATGCTTGGCAGAGGCAATTACTAAAACAAATATATTGGTTGTGGAAGGATACTTGTTTGAACTTCCTGATACGGTCCGAACAATTTCGAAAGCCTGCAAGGAAGCCCGCAAGAATGGAGCATTAGTTGCTATCACAGCATCAGATGTGTCCTGCATTGAGAGACATTATGATGATTACTGGTAAAATCTTATTTTCTATCTTGCTTTCCACCCCCTCTTCCAAACGGGGGAAAAACCCACTCTAAAAAAGCAAAAGTAGAAAGAAAGAGAAAAGCTTGGATAACTAGTTTAACTTGGTCTTTGGCGTTCGGATCCTCGATTTGAACAGAACTGTGTTAATCAGGCTAAAGTCTACTAGTGGACACTTTTAAGTCAGAAAACCAAATTCTGTTGCTTAGTCATGTACAGAGTGAACATGAATTTGTTTCTTTTACTATTACAGTGTCATTTATCCTTGCTATTATCCACATTTTCGTCCAGGGAAATCATGGCAAATTATGCAGATATAGTATTTGCGAACAGCGAAGAAGCAAAAGCTTTCTGTCACTTTTCATCAAATGAAAGTCCCCTTTCTGCTACAAGGTACCTGAGCCATTTCGTCCCTTTAGTTTCTGTCACAGATGGGCCAAAAGGTTCTTACATTGGTGTAAAAGGGGAAGCTATCTATATTCCTCCATCACCATGCACGCCCGTGGATACCTGTGGCGCAGGGGATGCTTATGCATCAGGTATTTTGTATGGAATATTGAGGGGTGTGTCTGATTTGAAAAACATGGGTTCCATAGCGTCCAAAGTTGCATCCGTAGTGGTAGGACAACAAGGTACTAGGCTTAGGGTACACGACGCTATTGGATTGTCGGAGTCATTTTCCGTCCACTGCAGGAACTCAACTTTTTGGTCATAGGTTCCGATCAAATCTCCAGCTTGTAATACTCGGAAGTTTAGCGAGTCTTGGTGTTCTAAGTTACCCGGTACGTGTGTTATCGGGAGATAGTAGAGTCCCCGTGGAATTAGTGAAGATGCACGCAGGCCTGAACATCAGTTTAGTGGTTATAGCATTAGTTCCTTTTTCACATTCATAGATGTTAGAGTTGTGTACATTGACATTCATTGTAATTATTCATGTAATGGATTCAGCAAAAGATTTAACAACATTGAATTTGCTTCTTTTTACATAGATTTGAAAAGGTTTTAATGTATATTTGGGAAAGCTCCAAATCTTGATTTAGATCCTATTTTAGTGGATATTTTCTATAATTTGGTGATCATATTAAGTTATTCACCCTCAAGCATAAAATAGGATTAAAACTAGAAAAAACAAAAACGTTTTCTTTTTTGACAATTGATCAATGTGCACAAATAAAAAAAATGAGTGATGGTGTAATGATGCTAAAATCGTTAATCTAAAATTTTGAATTTTAAGTTTTCGACATGGAGTTGTCTCTTATAGGTAGTGTTTTTTAACTAATGAGTGAGATTTTATGTCAATTGGATTAGTTTGACTTTCAAACTAATATGCATAAATAAAGAAATAGAAAAAGAGTGGATATTGGACTTTTATTGTTTATCAGAAATTTTAGATACGAATTTTGAAAATAGAGATAAGTATATAATTTCAAGTGTCTACTTGTGTATATCAAAAAACGAAAAATATAATGTGGAAAGGAGTCAAGTTAAGGGGTATATTTACGTATCATGCCTTTAAGTTTTAAGTGAGACTTTGAATGCAAATATGGATAAGTTGAATTTCAAGAGGATTATGCATAAATAACGAAATAGAAAAAAGAGTGATGACTTACTATAACTAGGCAGTAATTTCATTTTTAATGAATGATTTCGAGTTTTGGAAATAGAGTTCTCGTGAAGCGAATTTGAATTAATCGAGTTTTCATATAAATATTAAGCACCAAATATTTTTTAAAAAAAAGTGATGGAGAACATTATAATTCTTTCAACTATAGTGGAGACTTGTGTAAATAAGAAAAATAAATATGACAAAGAGCTTTCATATTTAGCTTGGGACTTCCATGTTGAAGGTCTCAAGTTCGAAACCCTTTGGCAGCGAAAGTAAGGGGTTTGCTTTCTGTGTCGAGCTCGTTGCACCAGGCTCGCCTAGTGCGGATTATCTCTCTAGGGGTTTTATCCTATGCGTACCCAAAGGATAGTGGCTGCGGATTTTCCTTGTCATAAAATAATAAAAAAATTACTCCATTCCATCCTATTTTATATGTCATCTTTATACTTGCATTAAGATACCCTTACTTAATTTTTCTTAAGTCAACTTTATAACGAATGATGAATACATTTTCAAGATTAATCAATTACTCTATCAAGAGTATAATAGGTAAAATATGAAATAACAAATATGATAGTTTAACTATTTATAGAAAGTAATAACATATAAAATTGAACGAATAATGATTGATCAAAATTACCAAAAAACACAACTGAAGTGAAACGGCGGAGAAAACTATATTTTTCAGAGTGATAATAACAACATTGCTCTTCGAGGAGATTAAGGAGTCACCAAATATCTGGCGAGTTCGATTTCTATTTAGTTGAGATTTTTCCTGATCTAAATTTCTTTTCCTTAACTGGTATTTTTTTTTGGGGGGATTTAACTAGTCTTTGCTTTCTTGATTTGGTGGTTGATTTTCTGTTGTTTAATTTTTGGGTTTTGCCCTTTTACCTTTTGAGTAATTAGAATTAGGTTGAAAATTTGAATTTCATGTATTATGATGAATTTGGAGGTTAATTAAGTTTAATATAGTGGTTGCACATGAGAGTGAGCGTGGTGGAGAAGTTATGCAGGAACCAAGAGAAGAACATCAGATACCTACCAAATGCTAGTTCTCGTGAATTGCGTGCGGAGTCCCAAAGGATGCCCTTATGGAGATACTTGCACTTTCCTTCACGATGAACAATATCGCTGTCACGGCTCGATTTTTTGAGTCATGATGAGTAGGTAAGCCAATCCGTAACTCGAAACAAGAAGTAATAGGTATGAGGGCAGAAACTAAACAAGAGTAGGCAAAGTTTAAAATAACAATATAAACAGGGAGAAGCAAACCAAAATATATATATACAATAAAAATCTCTTTCAGAACCTGAAAGTCACTAGTAAAAAGCTACTAACAAAACGAGTACAAGTCCCAAAAGTGGAGCACAGAAACTGGGTCATCTCGAAAGGCAAAAGACAAGTCTATATATATGGATGGAGACTTAAATTGTATAAAACACCATGTGCTCACCCCATCTAAAACACCATGTGCTCACCCTATCTCCGGATTAGACTGCTCCAAGCTCGATATTAATGCTGGCCTCTGTTTCTCGGACCTGTATCACGAGAGCAGATGCATAGCGTAGTATGAGTACAAAAAAATAGGTACCCATTAGCCTCATAGGCCGACTGAACTTTTTGAACTTGAAAAGTAAAGATAATATAAAAATAAGGAATAACAAAATTAAAGGTCAATGAAAGTCTAAGTAAACAATGGAATGCACACGAGTGTAGAAAGAACTAACTAAAGTATTCTATAAGCTAACTACGCCCTCATAACCCCAGAAGGTATACTCGTGTGAATGTTTAAATAAACACCCGAACGGATCCCATAAGCCCGACGAGTACATATTATAATTACAACTAAAGAAAACTGCATCTGAGAACCTAAGACCAGAGAAGACTAAACCAAAACCTCAACCCTAACTAGTAGAATCTGACAGTAGGCCAGACCTCAAACCCGATGTTGACTAGAATTACTGAATCACAAGTATCAAGTAAGTAAGGTCGGACCTTTAACCGGATGCTCTATATAAGTATCTTGGTGATCGTTTAAATCGAATGCTCTTCGAAAATATCAATGAGGTCGAGGCTGGAGCTTGGATCTGGATGCCCGACAAATGTGCCAATGTACCTGCTGAAAGAGTCCCTCCCTCTAGTCTAGGACCGGTTGTTGCTGCCCTGGAAGCGTGCCCTATTATCGCTGCACCCTATTATCTCACCAATAATAAATTTTGAAATTTAAAATAAAATTATTCCTAAATATAAAATATATTATACTTATTAATTATCATGTTTCGCTTCTAGCGATAATTAAACGGTGCCTTGAAGTAGATGTGTGTGATTGCTACTTCATCAAGTTGTCATGGCAAGTTGGGCTTCTTGACGTAACTATGTGGGGCTTCTACTATTTGTTATGTTAATGTAAAAAATCATTTTGGTTGCTTCATTTAAATAGAAATTGTTTTAAATTTTTTAACAAATATTTACTATTAAATTTTTTAACAATTTTCTTCTTCTTCTTCGTATTTACATGTATATGACTAAAATTTTGATCATTTTTAATGTGTTTTAGTTATGTATAATTTTAGGTAATTTTACCTCTACCCCCTTAAACCCATTCTCATCACCCTAGATAGGAGTACTTTTCCTAGATAGTCATCTATGTTTGGAAAATTACCTAGAAATATCACTTATGTTTGTTTTAGGACTATAATATCACTAAACTTTACCTATATTCTTCAAACTATATTCAACACAAAAAAATACATTATCTCCTCCTAATAGAATAGCACCCTAGTAGGTGAGAAATAATGTATTTTTTTTTTTTGTGTCAAGTGTATTTTGAGGAAAATAAGCAAAGTTGGATGATATTGTAGTCCTAAAACAAACATAAGTAATATTCATACGTAATTTTCCAAACATGGATGACTATCTAGGAAAATTACTCTCCTAGATAGCCACAATATTTTCTTTTTCAAAAAAATTATTTTTCTTCATAACAAATACACTCTTAATTCTGTATTAGTGAAATGGGACATCATTCCTTGCGTAAATATTTACTTAATAAGAAAGATAAACCATCTTTTTCCACTAATACGTTATAGGGACTGTCGTCAGTGCACAATCAAAAACGTAGAAGCAAAAAATCTACTTTTTTGTTAATTTTTATTTATTTAATATTTTAAAAATAATTTTTATCTTTATTTATTAATTTTAACATAAAAATAATTATCTTTTTTCCATTAATCTTCAACTTTAATTAGTACTTATTTGCATATCATCGTTCAGAGATTTAAATTACTAATATAAGTATTATATTATGATAAAAATTTCATATTAATTATTATTTTCGAAAGATGTGCAAAATATAAATAAAAAGTTAAGGGATACGTAAAAGTTAAGTGAGGAAAAAACACAAATTAAAGTAAAAGCAAAACAACCATCAAAGTGTGCGGTAATGTGGATAAGGCCGCTACATTATAATCAAATATCTTGAATTTATATTTTTTGATTATTATTACAAAATATATGATAAAAAATATTCTTATTAAAATAAAATTTTACAAAATATAAATTAAAAATATTTAAATATCGAATACCGAATAATAAAAAAATAAATGCAAACAAAGAATATTGAGTTGTCCAATTTGATAAGCTCACTATCATTTCACACTGTTCTAGCTTTGAAAAGCAACAATGATGAGTGACAGAAAAATATAGCAATGGAGATGGCTAAATAATACTGTGTATAGAAATATTTTATGGAATTATTTTATTTCTATATAAAACAATAATATATTCTATTGCTCATATAAAATACTAAAATAGGGATTAAATAATATTCATAAGCAAGTATTTTTATCAAATATTTTAAAATTATTATCCCTATTTCACAAAGAAAATGTTTCATACGGCAATTAAGCTATTCTAAAATCATACTCTTGAAGTTATAATGTTTGAACTAATTTTTTCCACTTGAAAAAATAGAATAAAATAATCTAAGTTGAGTGAAATAAAATGAAATATCTCATAAAATTATATCAGTTTATATTTAATTTAATTTTAAAATATTTATATTATTTTGCATGTCACAGTTCACATGAGCCCTGAGAAAATAATGGTAGAAATGAAAAAATGAAAAAAATAAGCAAAAAAATATTGAAAGTATCTTTAAATTTTGTATAAATTATTAGTTTTGTCTTTAAACTGTTGCAATTTTAAAAACACTTCTCCATTTGATTGAGTTTACCTACACCTCTGATCTGTCATACGAGTCATGACACAATAAGAAATTTCAAACTCTTTTTTTAAAAAATGAGAGTCTTGATTAAAAAAATTTTTAAAAAAATATTGAAACATTCCTATATTTAACGAGATTATAAATATACTTAAATTAAATAAATAAAAAATATATTTAAAATTAATAATTTACATTAAATTTAAAAATATTTTAACTATTTTATCTTCTTGTAGGATAAAGAAAGTTACAAAATTCGAAAGCTCGATAATTATGCGAGAAATATTTTTTTAATCTAAAACATAAGGATTGGTGCAAGTATGAGATCCTATTCTTGGAGCCATTTGGATCAATTTAAATAAAATTTTAGCTTTTAAGTCAATTCAAACATTCTCTTAATGTAACTGTTTGCTTTATTTAGATTATTTAATAGTATTTTTAAAATAAAATTTTATGTATCACTTTTTAATATATCATAAAAATAACTTTTTTTCCTAATTTGCTTTTACCATTAATCATATGTTCTCAAATTATTTTTCAAGAATCAATACTAGATATTAGTTAATATTATTATATTAAAATATTTCATATTAATTAGTATTATTTTTTTTAAAAAAAATATGCATGCAAAATTTAGAGTGATGAGTAGTAACACAAATAAATATAAATACAAATAAATAAATAAAAGTAGAAAAGCAAAAAAGGAATATTGAGTTGTCCACTTTGATAAGCTCATTATCTTTTCACACACTTTTTGAGGTTGAAAGCAATAATAGTGGGTGACAGAGAAAAAGTACATAGCAAGGGGAGATGGATAGATAATGCAGTTGAAATATTTTATAAAATTAATCTATTTATTTTTTAATTTTAAAATATATTAGCACAAAAATATTTTTTAGGAACTATAACATACTTTAATAAGTAATTTTATAAACTATTTAGAAATTATTATCCTCCACAAAAGAAAACCACATAGGGGAATTAAATTATCCGGAAATTCTAATATTAAGATTATAAATTATAAACTGTTTTTTTTCCACTTTAAAAAATGCAAAATTATACTAAATTAATTTTAAGAATTGAATATGAGAAAAATATTAAAAACACACATAAAGCTTACACATATTATGAGTCTCATTACTGAATTATAGATAGCTTTAAAAACACTCATTTACTTGATCAATTGAATTTAAATACATCACGATAGTATAATATTAGTGGAATATAACCTGAATTCTTACCAACTTTAGAAATATTTTCAACATTTCTCTCAAATTTTTATTAAGTCCCGTCCTCCTAAAAGAATTTGAATAACTGTATGCATAATGGTAAATGACCAAAAATTTTGCAAGAAATTTAAAAGTCTATAATATTCATTTTATTTAAAAATAAACTTATCTTTTTTTTCAATTTTTAATTAAAAAGTATTAAGTTAAAAGGACAAAATGTTCAAAATGGTAAAATAACCTTTTTATTTTACTATTCTGACCGAAAGGATTTTTTCATATTGATATTAAGTTAGTCAAGTATACAAATATTTAAGATTTCAAATAATTAGGGAACAAAATTAATATTCTCTTTGTTTAAAAAAAATGACATAATTTAATTTGGCATGGAGTTTTAAAAATTAAATTTGTGCTTCTAAATTAAAGTTATGTCAAAAATATAAAATTATTTGTTAATTTTACAATTTTAAATATGATACGTGAAACAATAAACATAAAATGTTATTAAAAACGAAAAAGATTATTTTTTTTAAAAAAAACTAAAATAAATAAATCATTTCTTTTTTTCAAATAAAAAGAATACTTTTTTTATTAAATTTAAAAATATTTTACGAGAAATTGAAAAAGTAAAAAGGGACAAAAGAATAGGTGAGGTACTAATTAAAGTACAAAAGCCGTGCGAATATGAATAACCAAATATGCGTATGAGTGACCCATTCTGCCCATCACAAGATTCCTTTTTTTATTTTTTAAATAATGTTAGTGAGCACATGTTTCATTCAGCAACTCTTTTTAACTTTACATAAGGTAGGTGAATACGGTGGTCAAAATCGAATCGAAAATTATTATATTATATAAAAAAGGGAAAGGGTTTAAATATGTTATTAAATTTAAGAAAAGATTTATTTATATCATCAGTTAAAAGTTTAGCTCATTTATGTCATCATCATTAAAGAAAAGTCTTATTCATGCAATTATTTTTTAACGGTGATTTTGCAAAATTATTTTTGACACGTGACCAATTATAGTTCGGTCACGTCATCAATTTTTTTAATAAAAAAATCATAATTCTGAAAAAAAAAATTAATAAACAAAGTGATGACGTGGCCGAAATAAAATTGATCACGTTTATCAATTTTTTAATAAAAAAATTAAAAAGTTAATTCAATTTTTTTCAGAATTATAATTTTTTTAATTAAAAAATTGATGACGTGGCTGAATTATAATTGGCCACGTGTCAAAAATGGTTTTTGCAAAATCACTGTTAAAAGATAGTGGCACGAATGAGCCTTTTCTTTAACGATAATGACATAAATGAGTCAAACTTTTAACTGATGGCATAAATAAACATTTTCTCAAAGTTTAATAGCATATTTGAGTCGTTTTCTTATAAAAAATTAATACTTTAAATATTTTTAATTAACAAATTATGAATATTGGATTATAAAATATTATCTTTATTTTCTATTATTAAGTGAATATTTGGTATTTTTTTTTAAGAAAATAACTTGCACTTTTACATAAAGTAACAATGAAAAATATAAAATGAAGAGAGGAGTATCAAATGCTTACCTCTAATTATGGGTATTTTATCAAAACATCAATAAATATTGAATTCTGGCCATTAAAAATCTCAGAATTCCAGGGGCCAAAAATACATAGGAACAATAATATTTTTTTCTTTAAAAAAAAATAGAGAAGAAAAAGACTAGGTCCTTATCATATTTTCATAATCGTTTAATCCTATATTAATAACTAAATAAACAAATTGAGGTGTGTTCAATTAAGTCAAAATTTAATTCAAGTATTTAAATGAATATCATGACAAACTTAAGTCAAAATTTATTTAAGCGATATAATGCATAAATATACTCTTTTATTTAAGCTCATTTTACATTTATTATCTCAAACTTTATATATATATACAAATAAATATTTAAATTTATATAAAATTAAATAAATAAACACACATCACACGTGTCATATATGAAACACTCCCTCTATTTCTAGATAAGTTTATCATTGCATCCTTAATTTACTTTTATTAACTAATTTGACCAATGAATATAAATTACTTAGTTTTTTTTTTAATATTATCAAATGTATAATTTCAAAATCAAAACAAAAAAGAATAGTGTCATTTTTATATTTATTTTATAAAATGATAATTAAGAAATAGATGGTATTAAAATAAATAAATAAATAATTGATGGTGTAGAATTTGATATTGTTAGGACTCTTCTCCACCCTCAAAATTTTCAATTACCTATTTTTTTTCTCACCACTCACCATAATCTCTTTCACAACCATCCAATTTTTATTCTTTTTTTTAAAAAAATTATTATTTTATGAAATATTGAATGGTGGTGGTCACTATAGATAGTCAAAATTTCATACTTACCATTTTTTTTTCTTTTATTAATACTCTTCACGTATTAATTAATAATTTTTTTTTATTTTTTTTAACTTTTAGTGGGGCCCTTCCCTTTGCTCTTTTTATTCTCCAAAACCAAACAACTTTCTCCTCAATTTCCTCTTTCATCTTCTTTCTCCTTCCTCTGTTTATTTTTGGCTTTCAATTTTCAATTTTTGATATTTCTCTGAACTTTTAGTAACAATGGTGACTGAAGGTACAGAGAAACCCACCATTATTTTCACCTACGGAACACTCAAAAGAGGATTTTCAAATCACGTTCTCTTACAAGACATGATAGCCGCCGGCGATGCCTCTTTCCTCGGCGTTTACCACACCGTCGATCGTCTCCCTCTCGTTTGCGGTCCTTACCGTGTTCCCTTTCTCCTGAATTTCCCCGGCTCCGGCGAACACGTCCGCGGCGAAGTTTACGCCGTTTCCGCTCGTGGATTAATCCGTATGGATGAATTAGAAGGAATCACCCGATCCCATTACGAGAGACTTCCAATCGAAATCCGATCTGAATCAGAATCGGAATCGGAGAAGACAATGGAGGTGGAAGCGTATTATGCACACAGAAACTACGCGGAGGCGTTGTGGAAGAGAAACGGAGAAAAAGGTTTCCGATGTTATACAGAGAAAGAGGCAAAAGGGTATGTGAAGCGTAAAGATAGGCCACAGCATTTAACATTTTTGGAACAAATTGGGATTTTCATTTCTTCTAACCCTAATTCTTGTGGTTGCAACAAAAATCTTCATGTTCCTTCTCTTCCAAGTCAATGTTGTTAATCATTCCAAATTTGGGATTTGATTTTTGTAAGTTTATAATTAAAAAAAAATTAGGAACATGTTATGATGATTAATTAAAAGGGTTAAAATGATGTGCTGCTGAAAATAAGTTTATTGTTATTAATTATTAGATCATACATGTTGATGCTGAATGTTTGACAGAGTTGTTTTTTCTGATTTGATCTTATTTGCTGCATATGAAACTACCAGTTTTATGGAAATGGAATTGTTCTTCTTTCCCTCGATTCGAATTTTATTTGATTTTTTCGATTTATTTAATACTTAAATTCGATATAAAATAATAATTCAAATATTTATTTTATATAAAATTATTAAAAATTTGTTAATCTAATAAGCTAGTATTAATGAAACTTCTGAGTTTTTTCAGATTAATTTTCTGGAAAGTGAAAATATTGGAAGACCGAATCCAGTCAAATTTAATGATTAAGCATTTATATTTATAGATAGATCTTCAAAGTTTATATGGCTAAAATGTTAGTTTAGTAAATATCTCTGTGAATGTGAATCTGAAATAACTTTTAATGTGAGTGGAAGTAAAAGAAATTCTGAAAATACTTATTTTAAAAACTTAGAAATATTTGAAAATTATAATTTGATGATTCGATAAAATTTTACTGATCAAATATTTGATCCTTAATTTATGATCAAATACTGATTTTAATCCTTTTTTTTTTTGAATGAGAAGGTAAATTAGCTTCCAATAATATTGGATCTAATACACTATTTAAGGTACACAATGTTGCATTTAAATTTATCCATTAATCAGAAATTAATCATGTTTATGTGTTCAGATTTCTATTATTCATTGTTATACAACCAAATAGTGCCGCTAGCATGTCTTAAAAATTTTATTGTACTTTTTTGACGATTCTAAAAGTAGGTGTCAAGTTAATAAAAAGTAGAAAATTAATTCTAAGTCGTAAGAGACAGTAAAAGTTTGAAAAATATTTATTCTACGATTGATTCATTAGAAGCCATCAAACTCGTCATGGAAAGCTTTTACATTTTAGTGAGCTTTCTCGAGATTGAATTCAAATCAGTAGAATCAAATAAATATTGAATCCAAATTTATCAAAGTTAATTGGTATCAAATCCAAATTAGTAACTCAAGTAAGTTACAAATGATGAATGATTAAAAAAATCATTACGTTATATTTGGCTTTCTAAACTTAATTTTAACTCTCTTTATTTTGAAGTTTGAAGTCCGTCATTTTTCAATGTTTATTGATTTTCATCGAAGATAACTTTTTTATTTTTAAAGGTAAGAATAAGACAGTATACATATCAATTTTTTCAAATCCCGTTTATCGAGATGATTGATGTTGTATCTTTTTATTTGATGTAGGAAATTAACATTCAAGTGACTCTTAAACTCTCTCAAGAGACAATTAATAATCAAATATACAAAAATGCTAAACCTTCATTACTTTAACCTTATATATTTTTGTTGTTACTGTCTATGATTCTTTTTTTTGTTAGTCAATCACTATTCTTTAAGTAAATAATTAGTGTGTAATTAATTCTCATTGTGAGATGATGCAAATATATAATATAACATTTATTCTTAATCACAGCTACCTACTCAAAATTAAAAATTAGTAGTGAGACTTTTATTCTGTCCCCTGCCTAGTAAAAACCTCTAAGTCTATGTTTGACATATAATTATTAATAAAATGTTCACAACCATATCTAGGGGTGTTTTTGGTATGGTTTGAATCTGTTATTGGTTAACACCAAAACTAAATTAATCTAGTCGTTTTTTTAAATTTTTAAAATCAACCAAATCAAATGAAAAAAATAATCATCGATTTGGTTCAGTTTTTCTGATTTTTTTAATTTGAAAGTAATAATTTTTTTAGGACATACGTAACTTGATAAAAAAAATATTTAGCACATAAACAATCCACAGAAAAGCTATTGTTGGTTCAATTAAGTAATTAAGCAATACTAGAGTTATCATTACACGAACAAAGTTATTAAGTGTGTGACTATTTTATGAAAGGTATGGTAGGTAATAAATTTTGATGGAATTGGACTTGGAATTGTAATTGAGCTAAAATATAAGTGTTATGCTTGAGAAAATTATAATGTTAAAGACTTACTTTACTTAAAATTTAACAAAATATTTATATTTATTTATAAATAAATTTATATTTCTAATTTATCGGTTTGGTTTGGTTGTTTTTGCAGTTATTTTTTTAGTAAAACCAAAACCAAACCAAATAATATCGATTTTAAAAATTTTAAAACCGAACCTAACCAAATCAAACCAAATGTCATTTTTTTAATCGATTTGGTTCGAATTACGATTCGATTTATTTGTTTAACCATAACCATGAACAACCCTAATTTCATATCTGATAAATTTATTAACACATATTGAGATATACCTAAAATTTATTAGATTGACGTGAATCTATATATTACTCCCTCTGTCCCTTTTTACTTGTCCACTTTTGAATTGACACACCTATTAAGAAAATAATTAACGATGTAGTGAGTTCATCATTTTACCCCTATTAATTATGAAGTGAATGAAAAATTTTACATTTTTCAAAGTAATTAAGCATTTAATTGTGAATATAATAGGTAAAAAATTGAAGTAGAGGGATTTAACAGGCACCAGATATAATATATGGTGTTGCATCACACACAGTGCAACAGATTCAAGAAGAATTAAATGGTGTAGCAAAAGGTCAAACTAATATATTTGTTAGATGCTATTCAGTTTAGGCTTGGCCCTTAACTGATAATGACATTTTTGGTATCTATATATATGTTATTGTTAGTATAATATAAAAAAATTAAATAAAGAATACTTAATTTGGTTTTATCAATAAATTAAAATAAACATAGAAAAAAATAATATTATGATATCATGCCTTGGTCCAATCCACGCAATTTGCATAGTTGACACAAGAACAATAATAATAATTAGTTATAAAGTAAATTGAAATCAATTATATGAATCATCATTGACAATATTGCTAGCGATGTTTGAATTAGATTGGAACTATTTTCATTTGTTAAATACCCCATATTATCCTTAACAGGTTGATGTTAGGTGTTCACGAGTTGGTTTGGGTCGATTATTGGTCAAAATCAAAATCAAACCAATTTAATCTGTTTTAAAATCAAATCAAATTAAATTTTGGTTGTTTTCGGTTTTGGTTTGGTTTGGTTTGATTCGATTATTAACCATTCATAAAAATAAAAAGAAACAATTCATTCAAAACGTGAAAGTGACAACAACTCATTCAAACGAAAAAATAATTAGAATGAATGCCATTACAGAACTTTCTATCATTGAATTTATTGAATAAAACTTCAAAATTAACTTATTTTGGCATTAGAAGGAAGAGACAATAATACTTTCAGCCCCACAAAGAATTTCGATAGACACTCACTCATATACATGAAATCAATAAGAAAAATGTTCGCACCTTGGACACAAGAATAACAATAATAATTGTCTTAGTTATAAAGTAAATCGAAATCAATTATATGAATCATCATTGACAATATTGCTAGCGATGTTTGGATTGGAACTATTTTCATTTGTAATACCCCAAGTTATCCTTAATAGGTTGATGCCTTGAAAATATAAAAGGGATATAGTAATTAAAGAACAAAAAAAAAAGATAAATAGCTATAGTTCAAAACTTATTTACGAAATATGGTTTTAATTTTTGTATTTACGAAATATAGCTATATTATTATATCAAGCAAAAAAAAATAAAAAAATTTACCAAACATGTATCAATTGTATTTGCAAAAAAGATGTATTAAAACAAATATCAATTATATAAGTTGAAATCTCCCAAAATAGTTGTACCAAAACATATTGTATTTTTATGTAGGGAAAAAGGAAAAATACATTCTCGAACTATCGTAAATGATGTGTAAATACATTCCGTCATATTTTTGGGACATTGATGCCCCTGTCGTTCAAAAACTTGAACATATATACCCTGTATACTAACGGACACACGCGTGTCATAATCTTATCCACTGGTCCGATATTTATCGACGGAAAAAATTACGCCGCGTCTCCCTATTTATTCTTACATTAGAGTAAAGAGCATATATGTTCTAGTTTATGGACGTGCAACTACTCTTTTTTTTTACCAACTATTGAATTTATAATATAAAAAAATGGTAGCCCAAGTTAATATACTAGGGGAAGGGAGTTTGTTACTTAATCTAGTAAATTAAACATTAATTAAGTCATGTTAACTTTAAGTAATAAAATTGTATAAAACACTCAAAAGTTAGGTCAGCAATTTCTGTAAAATGGCAGCTTTGAAGATATGTACGGTACGTTATCTCTATTTTTGGAATCTTTTGTCCTATTTACCTAGCTGATGTGCACACTAATTTGTACAAAGAATGACAACAAGAAGTTATCGAATTCGATCAAACTCATAACGACAATTTATCAAATTCGATCAAAATCATAACGATAATTTATTACTTCATGCACGCCTCGACTATTTTATTGATCTACTACATTCTATCATGCAATATAAGTTGATGATTTGATATCTTCCAAAAATAACAATACTTCATATCCTAATAAAGTAGAAGCAATTTGGCTTTGGCGGCTGATTTTAATTAAGAGCAGATGTTTGAAAAAAAATAGATTATTATTGAATTTGACAGAGTAAATGTTTGAATGGAAATTTGAAAAAGTTAAGATAGTTGGTAAGATGTAAGATCAATGGATTCAAAAGCATCAAACCTCTCTTGTTCGAAAGAATTGAAACACATCGAAATGGTACCAGCCGTACTTAATAATAGAAGGATTTGGCAAGTTTGAAATTATATAAGCTCGTGTGCATCGGTCGATTCGGTTCGATTTTACATATAATCGATTTGATTTATCAATTTTCAATTTTAAAATATGCTAACCCAATAACACACGTGTTTGGTAAGATGAAAAATGTTTTTTTCCAGAAAATAAAGCTATTTATTTATGAAATCGTAAGTAAACAAAAAAATATTACGTTAAATATATTTATATATAATTTAGAAAAAAAACGAACGTTGAGATGGTGGAGGGGAGAGTTGGGGGGGGGGGGGAGGGGGAGACATTAGAAGAGGTCTATAAGTTATGTTATCAAATCATCATGCTTACATATGCATTATTTGAATCTCTAAAAATTATTTCAATAACTACATATTCGATTTGACCTATGGACGAATAATAATATTGAGATTTATCAATATCTTGCTAACAATAGCTAAGATTTCGAGAAGAAAATGTCACTCATTTAATGAAAAGTACATATTCAGTATAGTCCTACAAAGTGAGTTAAGGTAGAATTTCAAAAGAAAATGTCATTTAACGAGAAACAAAAAAAGTGTCAAAAATTCGAGTGACTGAAGCTAATACAACTCCTTTCTAAGAAGTAACATATAATTAAAGACTACTTACTATATACTAAAAAAAAGTAGCTTCTGATAACAAATTTTGTTAACATGTCTTCTTCAGTGAGATTCAATCTTCAATATTACATGTGAATTGATACAACCTTGTTTCAGAAACTACATTTTACAAGAGATCTCAGTAAATACCAAAATCATGATCACTGTAAAATTTGTCTGAGTCGCATAGACATACTTGGTACAGATATCCTGTTCAGTTAACATACAATATGGTTTGGTCTGGAAAACCTTTGAGCGAGATGATGAATGTTCAGTTTTAGACATGAATCTCATTGATAACAGAAGGTTTACTACCATAGACATCTGGGAGGGGTAAGAAAGGTACCATAGGAAAGACGATGAGTGTGAAGACGAGAAAAAAGACGACCACCGACTTTCATTTGTCCGTCAACTTGTTAGATTCTGTTAATTGCTCTGACCTGCATGGTTAATTCACTGTTAAGACTGTTGACATGATAGCACTAAAGGATTAGAATCGATTCTCAATTCATTTTAATTGATTAACAAGTCAACAGCAAAGTTGCCGTTTGATATGCTACATCATAAATCAATACAAAATTTAGGTTTTATTACACATGCAGAACAATTGCTCGATTATCTCATATTTCTAAATGTGGTCGCAGTAAACACACAAGTTATCTTTTTGGAAATCCAAGAAGCAAGCAACTTTCATCCAAACAAAAGAGCATCAGAAGTCGGTCAAATGCTCAAGTTTTTTATGAAATCATGGACAACTTGTTTCAAAGTACCCTATTTTGGAATGCTATTACTATGCTAAAGACCACCAAGGAGAGAACACAGTCTTTCTATATGGATGACTTTTCCACGGAGCTAACAACTCTGTTTCACGTATATAAACACTTCCCATTCATTTTAAAAAGTATATATGGGAAGACGAGGAAGAATTTGCCTGAAAATGTTTGTGTGAGTTGTTACACCCTCGGAAGTTTCACCATATCTGGCAGAGAATTTTAGGATATACCAGAACACCTCAACACACAATGAAAATTGGAAAGCAGCATAACAAGATAATAGATTAGGAGAACTGCTAAATTCCACACTAACAAAATTCATCTAATACCCTTCCTTCAGTCCCCCAAGGAATATGGTAATGTTGCTTCTTTATAAGGAGAGAACAAAATTATCACAGTATAAGTAAGTGCTGTCCTTCAAAAATCTGGCCACGTTTCTTTTCCTTTAGGATTGACAGATTGTTTAGAGCCAATTGATCAATTCGATTAAGTTATCTGAACTAAACACTCACCAGACTGAATCCTGACTCATACCAAGCCCATTACAGGTAAGTATCATCCCTTTGAATCTGGCTAGATATTCCTGTTTTGGAACACCAAGTAGTCAGAATGCAGTGTCAAGGTATCACAACTCAAACAAAGGAATTTAACATGATGGAAGTGTGGAGGTCCTTACTGGCAAGGTATACTTATTTATCTCATAGTCTCCATTTAGATCATAGTCAAGTCTCTTATCAGGATCACTTAACACTGCAATGGATGTAAATTCGTAGCTATCAGTGACTGCATAATGTAAGCGGTGGATAATCTCCCACTAACTATACATTGTTATGCTCCACATAGGGGTCCAGGATACTTTTTCTAATTTTTTTTTTTTTGATAAAGATACTTTTTCTAAATTTTAAAGAACATTGTGCAACAAGTATAAAGGAAAGGATGTAGGCATTCAAAACTAGCGGGTTTCTAATATTAAAATAGAACGAAGATAGATTTTAAGATCAGAACTCAATATAAAGGGACAATAAAAAATTTGTAGGGAGAATTTGATGTTGGCAATACATTCCATATAAAGCTATTTCAAGCAAACAACATACAAACCATTTTTTCTCTCAACATTTAAGTGAAATAAGGCATCACATGGTGTCAAACTGTCAATGGTGAAAATATCGAGAGATCAACTTAAGTTCTAGCTAAATCATACAATACAAGTAGCAATAATCAGCATCACGTGGCAAGGAGATATATGAAGTTATTATGCCCAAAATAAAAATAACTACCCGAATAAGCTTCATTAATCTCTTGAAATTTAGTTGTTGCTGCATCATTACACTTGTGTTTGTCAGGATGCCACTTCTGCGCATTTCAATCAACGTGAATGATATGACTGCAGTCAGGAACACGCTCCCTTAAATAAATGCAAGCTTGCACAAAGAGAGAGGACGAGACATAGAGAGAACTCAAAAATAGAGCTGTAGCAGGTGCTGCTCGATGAAATATGGATGACTAACCAGTGCAAGTTTCCTATAGTTTAATCTGATCTTCTCATCTGATGCATCATATTCAACTTCAAGAACCTTGTAATAATCCTTAAAACAAGCAAAAGAACATATCATCAGAAGATCATCAAGTAAAACTAGGAAAACATATGACAATCTGTAATCCTATATAGCTAAAAGAAAGTATTCAAAGGAAAAGAATTTCATTACGACAGAAAACATATGCTTGTTCCTATATGCCAGTCATATTAAGGATGAACAAGAAAATCCTGACGCTACTTAAATCTTAGCCAGCAATAAAACTGGCAATGATTCTTTAGAGGAAATTTTATCATATTAATACTACCATACATTTCCTTTTTGGTTAAGAGTAAGAATGCAGGCGCGCAAGGCCAGAAATTTATATAATAGGATTCAGAAACACTAGAGTGTCATAGCTGAGATTTGAACTTGCTACTGAAACAACTTTTGTGCCCGTGTAATAGGGGAAGATTAGCAAAGTGGGAAAAGGGGGTTCAACAATCTATATATAACCAAAAAAAAATCAGTTTTACCCTATTGCACACTGTGATTTCTCAGCAAACAGGATTCAATTGAACCCCCTTTCCTCTTACTAGCTTCCCCCCTGAATGTAGGATAGTTGATAACCTTTTTCCAAGTCTCTTGCCAATATCATAAACAAGGAGTGGCCTAAAACGCATTGAATATAATGCCAATGGTTGATTTTAATTAAAAGAGTAGAGCAAATCCAAAACAATCGACAAAGAGAAAACTTAAAACTGGAAAATATAGAACCTTCTTCAGTGAGAACACTGCCTTGAAAGGGATTTTTATTAAAGCATTTGGTTGCTTCTTTTTCTGCAGTGGTCTGAAGGAAATATATCAGTTCTATAATGATGGAAAATAATTTACTGATTCATGAATCTCAATACATCCCTGAATACCTGCGGTATTACAAAAACCGGTAAGGGCAAAGCTTGATCATGGTGATTATTGGTCAGGATATATCCATCTTGGTTTGGATTATCGGTAAACGAACAAATAGGTTGTCTTTCTCGAAATGTTAAACAAAAGTTCTCCCCTCGCATCTCAGTCGCTTTTACTTTTTCGTTATTATGTAAAGATCCTTACAGTTCTCCATAATTCATCACAAATCCCCACATAGCTAGCAACACCCTCTATTTACAGTAGTACCAGACCTACTTTGACTACAACAACAAGAAGAAACCCAGTATAGTCCGAAAAGAGGGGTTTAGGAGGGCAGAGTGTACGCAAACCTTAGCACTACCTTCCGGAAGACCCTACCAGACCTACCTTGTCTAGAAACTTGAAAACATATTCTAATATGAATTAGACTACAAACCCTATACAGATTAGCAAGTACCAAGTCCTAAACAAATTGGGTTTCTCTACTCCAATTTTGAATTAGTCTTCCAACATAAAAGGATTGCAACTTTATAAACAATAAATAATTCTGAAGCAATTTCTTGATTTGTGGTCTTAGAAAAATGAAATGGTGCAAACTAACCTAGAGATATTTTGCTCAATAATAGAGAAACCCCAAGAAAGAAAAAGGAAAACCAAATTGAAGAAGAAGATTACCTTGTGTTTGTAGGTGGTTTTATTATCATCCTCCATATGGCTGCCAAAATTTGTTCTTTACTGCTACAATGCTTATTTTTGCCCAGCAAATAGACATCTAACAGGAGATATTGCAAAACATTTTTCACAAAAAAAAAAAAAAAAGAGGACAAAATGCAAATGGCTCAATTATCTTTTTTGAGTATCTGAGATTTTTACCCCATTAAAAACATGGTTGAAATTTGAAGGCCCTCTGAGAAACAGACAAACTGATGAAAGAGACACACAATTAAGAGAAGATTTCACTTTGTTTATGGAGAATCTTTCTCTCTTTTTTCCCTCCTAAAGTTATTAGCTTTATGATGATTCTTTCTTAAATTTTGTTACTAGAATTCAATCAAATTGATAGGAAGATTAGGGCAAAATTAGGGATACTAAGAGTTGAAAGATCAAGAATTACTCCTAATTTTCATAAAGAAAGAATAATAGAGAGAGAAAGAGAGTGAATGCCTGCTCTTAGAGAGAGAAAGTAATTCAATTTCAATTTTTTGTTTCTCAATTTAAAATCCCTAATTTTTTCTAACCTTCAGTTTGGATAGTAACAAAATAGTCCAGCAAAGAACTATCCTTTATGGATAGGAAGGGAGGAGTCAGCTCCTATAGTTATTTTTTTTTGATAGAACACGTTTTATTCGTAGATTAATCGAATCTCAATATGAATGATAGTTATGAGAGTGTTTTATAGGTTAATTAATCGAGCATCAACACGAGTGAATGAGGTGAAAGTATGGGAATTCATTTCATTAATAAATTTAGAATTTTTTTGCCCAATGTGATTATTATTATTATAAGTTTCAAAATGTTAACTAATGTGATAAAACGTTACTAGTCGAACATTTTTATCTAGTTCTTGAAAATTGGACTATTAAATTTTTGACTTGTGATATGTAATGGTCCACAATGCAGGGAATCATTATGGTCCAAAATCACATAAATATTTTGGCTATTTATGTGTATGTGTCAAATACAACCAGATGCCTCATCATTGTGTCAAATACAACCAATACTTTTGGACATAAAATATCTTTTTTTATTTTCCATCCGATTTCCGAAACACCTGACAAAATTCAAATTCGCGTCGGAAAGTCCCAAAAAAGGTGCTTGGACATCAAATATCAATTCAACATTTCAAGTAGTGAAATATTTGCTTCAGGACAACAAAATGATATTTCAACATTTTAAATACTGAACTTCAATATCTGCAAATGCTGCTTGAAGAATTAAAATTCAAATTTGAGGACTATTCAAGTGAATAACTAGTTTTCACTCACAAGTCTCCGACTTCCTGGAAATCATATTTTGTTCTTTTTTCTTTCAAGTTCCATGATGAAACCTCACCAAAAGATTCAGAAGATAATAAAATAACTGGTAAGACTAGAAACTTCATGATCCTTATACTGTTCCAATATCCTGTGTGTAGAGTCCTATGATTGATCATAAAGAGGTACAAGACCAGTTCTCACATAGTAGCTTCTTCTGCATCACTCTCAACAGGCACTGAAGGCATTTTGTTTCCACCTCTCAACCCTGAAGATACTTTGTCAATGGCGCTGTTCAGTTGATCTAGCTTATTGTTCAAAGTTTGTCTAGTTTTCTGTATACGACAAGTGATAGAACAAAATTTATAAGCCTACCAGCCAGGTAGTAGAAAAAAGTTAGGCTGATACAGAAATTTAAAGCAAAAAAATCTCTTATCACCTCCAAACCTTCATCATAATAGTACATTGGTCGCTTGGCTTTCCGGAAACCATATTCATCTTCATTGAGCAATGACCTCCGTATCTAATGACAGATGGCAGTGAAAAAATAACAGAAAACTATGTTAGCAAACAAAATCCTAAAACACTTGAGGGAAACCCACCAGTAATCATTTCATACAGTTGCATCTTTAAGGTGATAAAGAAAGTGCGATGAGAGATGAACAAGCATTAAATATATTTATAATACCTATATATGTAAGCCATAATCCATTCAATAAACTCATTTCCAAATAAGTTGATTAGTGAAGTTGAAAATTAGCTTTCCAAATAGGGTAAACTAAGTTGCAAAACTCAATATTGTATCAACAAAATAGTAGCTTTAACTCAAGTACTATTTGAATTAGCGATAATCTCTTAACTGAATAGGAAATAAGTTGGTCTTGAGAATATTGGTACCCATTACAAAAAGCTGCTTCATTATGGAAAAAAAACACAGGAATCATCCTAGTATGGGCGCACACATACTCAGCGAAATTCTTTGACCCGGAGAGTAAGAAAAAGTAGGCAACAATGTTTACCGTGCCTAACAAGCAAATCAGTGTTGTGGAATCAGAAATCAAGTTGATACCAAGAGACGATACCAAAATTACCTGTGGAGCAAAAATATAGCCAAGTGTTCCAAATATTGCACCTCCTAAAAGGAAACCGGCAACAAAATCACCACCGTTGCCCCCGCCACCTCTTTGATCACTGCATTCAACAGGCAAAATTGAACATACCAGTTGAGCACACATGGACAGATCAGTGAAAACAGCTTCAGAAATTGTAATCCTTTCATATGATTGGATAACTAATTAAAAGGCATGGAGTCAAATGACTCAGCAATATCATATGCTGAAAGGAGCCACATTCAGCAAGTGTTACCCTCACTTACCAAGTTAGACAGCAAACATCATATTAATTTCATATCTGGGATCAGAAAACCTTCACAACTTAATAGGCCACAGATATTTCAGAAGAACCCAAATAAAATTTAAGGATGCAGATGAAACAACTTCCTCTACTTCAACTGAGAATAAGTAGAAACTTGATAATCAACAAAAAGAAATTGAGGAAGCTTCTAAAATTAAATAGACACCAGCAACAGCGTGACAACCATGGTGTCTCCTAATTTCTGAAGCCGAAATTAACTTCAAACATTCCTCACTTAACAAAAGTCACCGGTGCATAAATTCGGAGAATCCTACTCAAAAGACGAATTGAAGTCCAGCCACCAACAGAAGTTTCACAATCATCAGCTTCTTCATACTGCACTCTATCTCTCATTGCACTTTCAAGAGCTCTTATTTCTCCCAATGCATCGGTCATCATCCTCTATCATATATTGATATTATATATAATGCAAATGAATCTAGTGTTCCATCTTTGCTAGTTAATGTATATATGAGAGCGCCCAAGAAAAGCCTCCATTGAAGAAAATGACCGACACTTGCAGTATCCCAATGATTATGAGGAAATTACTTTGATGGACACATATATTAAATATCACAACCAATTATTGTTGGAAGTAACAAGCTTAGCATCCTTTCATTAAGAACCAGACTTCTAACTTAAACAAGCTCCTTAAGTTATTGGAGTTATACCAAAGTTCAAAAAAGAGTTTCATTTGCTTTCTAATGCAAAAAACAATAATAACGACGACAAACATGATGACGATAACTAATCCTGCTAAGAAAAACAATTAAAAAGTGCAAACTTATGCAGATGGTAATATAAATTAAAAGGTTTCATAAGCTGAAAGTTTCTCTTGGTTCCACAGAGATGAGTTTCCTGATCTAGAAAGATGGATTAGCCTTAGCATTTACTTCAGATGCTTGGAACAATGCATGCATCAAACTATGTTGCCAGAAAAAGTGGTTTCTGTAAGGATCATCCGATTTTCCAAAAAACTGAGAGGAACAGATCACAAATTTTAGTTTTCTGAGCTACAATTTCAAAATTTTAGTGCAGTAAACATTAAAGGAACATCATCATTTCACTCTGCAGCTGAAAAGGATTTGGTTGTCCATTGCACCTCTGCAATTAATTCATCAGTTGGTTACTTTGGTTACTTTGGCTTATCCATATTATGTGCTTGGAAAAATCTTTTCTCCATTAACCATTTGAAGCACAGAAAGCAACCAATGATTCAAGAGTCTGAGACAATTCTAAATTGGCAATCTTTTAATATAGACCATCGACCACCTATATATTCTCAGAAAGGGCACCTACTGCTTTCTATCAAGTTGGTTCATCAAAGCAGATATAAGAGGGAAACATTTAATCAGATATTCGCAAACACGGAGCGGTGGAAAGTGACCTCTGCGGAATGCAGTTAAGTGTTGGGAGAAAAAGAGAGCTGCATCTCTCCAGTTAGGAATCTGTTCTGATTCCCACTAGGGAGAGCAGTCCATGGATGCATCAAATGCTGATAATATAGACTATTCCTTTAGGAACTAGAACCTGTGAGGAGAAAAAAGGAAGGACTGATCTTGTCTAGAATGTAAGCCATTTGGTACTTTCAAATCTCCAAAGATCTTATCACGTCTGCTGATACAAACAGTTAATAGCAAATAATGAGGAAGAATTACAGAGTCAAAGAAATTAAATGCACAAGTATCATGACTTTTCTGTAAAGAGGAATCAGACGGACTGGTGAGAACATTAAACGAAAGTTGAATTTAGTAGCAACAAAATAGACAGCTGATGAAAAGACATGAAAAGTAGAGTCAACACCAGAAACTTTAAGACACAAAAAGCTCTATCAACTATGCAAGATGGGAACAGAAAAAGAAGTTTGTATTATCGAACAAAAAGAGTTACATCATACTTTGTCACTTTGCAAATATAAATCTGTTGCTTACTTTCCTCTTACTCCGTAAATTGCCGAACTGGAGGACACGGGAGAATAGACAACTTAAAAAGTTTAAGAATAAATGTGTGTGATTGTAACTCAGGGCACCAAAAAATATGCAAGGTTATATAAATATCATAAACGGAAGGAACAATACATCCATTACACTTATTATTAAAAGTTCATCCAGCTCTGGGGACTCCACCATACTCTTAAGAAAAAAATTAGACGAAGAATTGAAGAAACCTTGCTAGTCAGTCCCTTGTCTTCTTTATTACGCTAGTAACGGCCATTCGTTAAATTTGGGCTTATCAATCATCATAAAGCCAAAAACTAAGCATAAACCAGATTAATGGCAAGTGATCTCAATTCATTAAAATAATCATCAACAGACTTGTTTCTTAATAAGTAGTGAGTAGGATATAAGCATACAAAAATGGAATACCTGTAGTTTGCACGAATAGACAACTTGGAGGTTTTTGTTCCTTGAGAGTTTGATTTCTTCTGAATAGCCACCATAGGTGTCTTGACAAACGAGGAGGACTTTGCAGACCAAGGTTCGCATGCTTTGACATGAGTTGCACCTAATTTAGAAGGGGAGAAAAGGGAAGCATCTCAAATGGGAACTCAATATCAAGCCAAAAGTAAACACAATCCCTAGTTCACAGAGATTCGTTACCACATTAATACACTGTCACTTCACCAATATGGCCAGAGATGCTTGGCATTCTCTTCAATCATACAATACTACCAGAAAAGGACATAAAAAAGAATGCCATTTTTTAAACTCTTTTCCCAGTAAAGTACATGATTAACCACTTCAGGAGACTCCAAAGATGCAATTTAAACTACAAGGTGAAGACACGACACCGAGAGAGACATAGCTTAGAAGGATGAGAATCATCATATTCTCATGACAA